CTTTGCTACCCTTCCACCTGGTCTCCTGCACACACAGTACCTCTACCTTCCTTCTCTCCATCATGTCCGCCAGCTCTCTGCCTTTCCCTGTCATTGTGCCAACGTTGAGTTCCTATTCTCAGACCTATACTCCTGCCTTTCCTCTTCTCTCTCTGTCTACGAATCCTTCTACCTCCTCTCCTTCTTCGACCAACAGTAGTCCAATTTCCGCCAGCACCCTGTAGGTCAGCAGCACTGGTAGTGGTCGTTGTTAACCCGGGCCTCGACTGATCTGGCATGGGTTTCGCACTGATGATTCGCATGTTTAAATTTGGCATGTTTTTACGCCAGATGCCCTTCCTGACGCAACCCTCTCTATTTATCCGGGCTTGGGACCGGCACAGAAGTCACTGGCTTGCAACCCCTGTGGCTAGATTAATGAAGAAAAAGCGGGACAGGACAGTATGTGATGTCTCTCATCTATACCACCCCCATTCATGGCACTCTGCTGCCTACAACCCTCCTTTTGTTATTCCAGCTTTCTCTATTCTGTGTTCAATATTCTGTCAAAATACTGTGTGTAAATTAGCACTGAATGCCACACAGTGAAGGCTGAGTCATTTCCAACATCCAGGCACAAATGAGCTCTCATCTGTTAAATGCCCACAGCAGTGGCTTAGGTTTAAGTCGTTGTCGCTTCTCCTCCTCTCCATGATGATCATGAATGTTTACACTTGAGTGAATGTTTAAACTTGACTAATAAACACCACTAACAACAAATTTACACCAGACTATTACAACGTATCCCTCCACTGCTGCTCAGCAAGGAACACAAAGGGAAATTTGACTTAAATGGAATGTAACTTTGAAATATACGGGCGTGAATTATCTTAGTGGGACAATAGAAGCTGTATTTGAGCCTCAGATAAACTTCAGAGTGAGCTGTTGCACAGAACGAAAGTTGTGTCTTTTGACCCTCATTTTTTGCAGCGTAGTAGTGTTCTGGGGTGGAAACATTCACAATCGTTATGGAGAGGAGGAGAAGTGACAACAACTAAGACCTATTCTCACATACATAGGAATACATCAGTATTGTTTTAACACCAACTTGAAAACATCCTGAACTATTCCTTTAAAGCCTGGTGCTGAATCAGGACACAGTGGGATTTGTGACAACATGGGAAGCAATATAATGGGAGGAAAATGTCTGTGTGTAGTTTTGGGTATGGTGGTTCATTACTGACCGCTGCACCTGATGTTGCATCCATTTGCAGAGGATGTACGGCCATCAGTACACCACCAGCGGCTGTTAATCTGGAAGATGCCATAGTCGGTGGATCCATCACTGTTGTGGTGAGTAGTTTCGGTGTTGTATTTTGACTCCCACTTGGTCAAGCAAACCCCTGCAGAGAGGAAAAGAACACACTCACATGTAAACCATGTGAAAGGCTAGCATCACATGTCAAACCCCACATGGTAACAGGAACCATTTCTGACTACACTGAGATGCATTAGAAAGCTCTGGAACAAGCTACTAAAACTCTGATATCACTCTCATAATTGCTCAAATTCTACTGCCAGCAGTTGGCTAGCCTAGCTTAGTATAGACTAGAAACAAGTGTAAACAGCTTGATTCTATCCTCCAAGCACACTAATTAACAGGTTTTACTGCCCTTGATTAATCAGTTTGTTAACTCTGTGGATATGGCTCCAATTCAGGCCTTCTCTTGTCACAGTTTCGAGAGTTTGTGCCACAGTAACCTGCTACTGGCCATAGCTTCGTATTTACCTCATCTAACTTGTGGCAAGAAAGCAAATAAGCTTAGTTCACAATAACATCAGTATGATGATTTTAATGCAACAAAAGTTCATGCAGACCCAATCATTACTCTGATCAACTGCAAAATATAACCGAGTCTTAAGAGTTTGCTAACTCCATCTCATACTTAAATAAATGGTTTTAAAGGTGGAAAAAAATCCATTGATATTTCTAAAATGCATGATTTGGTATGGCCTGGTTTGAAAAATATTTTATTGTGATACATACCAGATGTTGTGTATGAGCTAGTTTTGGCATTTAAGACAGTTGTTATACTGTATTGCTGTTAAGACATTGTATGAAGGCCACAATATGCTAACCCCTGGACTTAGGAATAAAGCTTAACCTCTCACACTAAGGTGGCATATTTGAAATATATTAAAGCTCCAGCTCCTGAGGTTTTATGAAGGAGATATTCACTCAGTAATTGATGACCATGAACCTGCAAACAGAGTTCCCTGCAGACCTCCCTCTTTCATGTAAATTCAGCCTCCCAAACAACAACAACCTGCAATTATAGTGGTAGCTAACCCCTTATACCCTCAGATGTTACTGTACTGAGAAATTTTTATAAACCAGTATACTCTGGCCCTTTGAGGAAGTGTTACAGTTGGTTTGAAATAACCATGCCGTGGCACTTGCCACTTAAGACCATATTTGCTTTACTCATTATCTAGTTGACATAAGGTGTTATTAAGGATAGGAAATTTAAAGGACAGTGTACATTATGTGATAAGTAAGCAGCTGGATATTTTATATAAAATATTTTCTGATATAACTTTCTAAACATCACCTCCCCTCTCAACAATCAGCCGGTTTTGTATGGAATTCACCCGAGCAACAAGCCCAATCAGAAAAGTGCTGCTTATGTTGTCACCGTTAGGTTTCCGCAGCCAGGCAGCTTGTTAACACTGCTAGGTTGCCACCGCCTATTTTAACTTTCTGAGACACCTTTGAGAAGGTTGGCATACTATTAACACTGTTGATTGTTGAACAATATGATTAAACTCATTATCAAGATAGGGCACTTGAATTATAATGTAATATAATGAATAAACAGTTGACTAGTTCATTTTGATTGTTTTTAAATGACTGTCTGAAAATTATGTCAATATTCCAATGTTAATTTCAATCATCACTGATTCCCTTTTCAGGAAGTTGCATTTAACTATTTATATTATCTTAAACGGCCTTGAACATTAGCACTTAAAAGTGTAAACCCACTAAAATCATAATAATTTGTAACATCAAAACTTGACTCTGTGGCGACTGCTGGCTGGGTTGAGGAGAGCTGGTCCGATCCTAACCTAACTGTGCAACTAACTATCCAGCTGTGTGCTGGCACCTACAGTAGGCTGACAATGAGGATAACACCGTCTCTGTCTTTTCTTGGCGTTATTCAAGCATGCAAAGCAAGAAAGAAAAGGGTTGCAGAACACAGCACTATGTGCTCACCGGAAAAAGTAACAAAACAGAACATTACAGGTCTCTCCCCGAACTTCACCATCGCCCGCCAACAGAACCAACAACACGCCCACCTGTCATCCCTCTTATAATCTCCCGCACCTGTTCCTCCCCCAATCCCACATTGGCCAGAACAGCGCGGCATTTCGCAGGTAATCACACTCACTGGGAATTGGGTAAAACACGGAGAAATGTGTGTCTTAACTATTACCACTTAAAAGTGTTAAGTCACCAAAATCATAGCAATGTCAATAACATCAAACTTGACTCAATAACCACAGAGAATATTAAACCTTTTCAGGAATTTTATATAGAAGCTTAAAAGAGCTACAGCAAAGCAGCGAGCAATAAAATATAAACCTTAAAATTATCAATAATTGTCTTGATTGGCTTACAACCTAAATAATCAACAAATGCTATCTCTAAACATCACTCTAAAATATACTGATTAAAATTATTATGGTTGAGCTAAGCTCTTGATCTGAATAAAAGGGTTTGCTAACGGTCCTGTTCCCAGCTGGCTCGAGATGGGGTGGTGGCAGGTTGAGCAATTGTTTGTTCCTCTTTTTCCTTTTGGCAAGGATTCAAGCTTTCAAAAGGAAAGAGTTAATAAATAGAAAAATCTAAACTCATCAGGAAACCTCATTCTCTTCTGGTTCAATCTTCAAAACTTTGAGAGAAATATAAGAAAATTTCAGATAGACAGTGTTTTTCTTGGTCAAATCTTCTGTAACTCAGGAAAACATAAAGACATAAAAATGTCTAACACAACGGTTTTCTTTCCAAGCCACCTTTCCCCACCAGGCTGGGTGGATTGTGGCATTCTGTTAAAATTCTTCATTTCTTCATCAATCATCTTTTAAGCAAGAATTCAGAGTTCTCTTGCTGAACTGTGAGGCTTTGCCACAGTTCCATTGTCCAATGTTGACATCAATTTCACCCTCACAGTGTCATGATTCTGTCTCGTTTGCTTCCTGTCATGCGTTTATTTTGATATTACTTCCTGTCCCCAGCTCACCCTGACTCCCGGGAACTTTAGTTCATTATCCAAATTGGTTTCACCTGCTCACTACAGTATATAGCAGCTTCTCACCCTGTGGGAAGCTGCCAGATTGTTCTCTCATCTATGTCAGATTTTCCAGTGTATTTTCCTTGTGCCTGTATTTCCTTTTGCGACCTTGGATTGTTTAGACCACTGATTCTGCCTTGCCCTCCTGCTTCGGACTGCTTTCTATGTATGGATTATTGGACTTCTCTCTCTGACCTCGGCTGTGTAAGTTTGCTGGCTCTGACCCTGGACTGTATTCTCAACCTGAGTGTGTGTTTCGTGTTTTACGTAGTTCTCTGTATCTTTTTTTTTTTTTTGTCCCTGCTCTTATTAAAAAGACAGTTTTTCACTTATCCTCGACTGGCAATATAATTGAGTTCACCCCTCAACATTATTGGCAGCTTCACTCGTCAAATCCTGACACACAGGCCAGGCGCCTCCGCAGTCATCAGTCTTCTGGAAGTCAGACAGTCAACCGGACAGAGCCTCCGGCCGCAACCGTGAAAGACATCCCTCATTCCTCTTTTTGCCTGGGTTTTTAAAGGATTCTGGTCAGTAGGTTTAGTCCTCTCATCCAACCAGATGCTGCAGTTTGCAGTTAATACCTTATTTGGCATGCAAAGTCATATTCTTTAGAACTATTGCATATTTTTTACTGTCACAGCTCAAGTCCACTGCCTGTAACTGGCCTCCACCCCACTGCAATCCAGCCTCAGACTCTACTTCCCCTTTCCTAGAAAACTAAATCATCTTAATACTTAATAAAGATACAAGAAACTCACATTTGACTGAAATACCACAAAATCCTATTATTGCTTTTAAATAAACAATCACAATTACACTATTACACAAAACTATCAATGCCTTAAAATCAAAACATGGATCTTTATATTTTGAACTGATGAAGCCTCTTGGATGAGAGGTGAAATGTCTTCAATCTAGATATCTAAGTCCAGTTGATTTTTTTTTTCTAAGGTTTTTTCAGTCTTTATATTTTGAATACAATACTTGACTAAACATTGATTATCATTGATTAGACTTTGATCCAACATTAATTATCAATCAAATCTTTACTTTTAGGCTTGAAACCATCATTTTTATTTTCTTAATAAGCTGTGTGTCTCTTCTCTCTCTGCCTATCACATGCAAACAACTGCACTTCCTCTTTTCACTGATGTGTGTCTACTTCCCCTTTCTCTGTGATTCAGCATTTTCACTCTATGATTTAGATTCTGAATGTACTTTACACTTCTAAATGTACCTTTTTCAACAATCTTTTCACATTTTATTCTTACACATTCACTAATGATTATTTCAAAGAAAACACACACACAAATCATCTTATGATTATCTTAACTTTTCTACTTTATGCATTTTAATAATTTTCCTCTCTCTCTCCCAGCTCCTCTTTCTTTTTCTTGTAAACATTATTGCTGTTCTTGTCTGAATTCTAACTGAAAAGAGACAATTTGTTAAATAGTCTACTGCAGCCCTTCTTGTAAGGTTTCTGATGCCAGATCCTCAGAGGCCAGTTCTGCTGTTATGGACTATGTTTCTTGTGCTTTTTGGTTCTCTCCGGGACCCTTTTTTACAGGCTTGCCGACAACAGGTAAATTTATTAAATTCTGTGCTCCAGGCAACCTGATGTTGGTACTCACAGTCGGCCAGGCTGATGCCACGGTAACCATCCATCCCCTCACTCTTCAACAATCTGGCCCATTCACAGCGTTCGTAGACTCTAGCACTGGCCACAGTCACCAAGAGCAGAAACACCAGACTCTTCATGATGGACACGTTGCTGAACAAACTGTTTCCCCAGCTGCTGCTCAGTGTCCTTTTATAATGGAGAAACTCAAGTGAAACTGTTGTGGCTGCTTTAGTTCACGTGGATTCCTCTTTTTGTTTGAATGTCTTCCAGTTTCAACAAAACTGTTTCAACACAAAGATTTATGTTTCAGCATAACACTGTTCACACAGTTGAAGATTTCACTTTTCGCTCACAGTCTGAATTGATATATTTGAACTTTGTTGATTTGTTATCAGGCTGATTGTTACCAATGTGAAATTAAAAATGGATGTGAAGGACTGACGAGGCTAAGTTCACGTGCTCTGGCACAACTATATCAGCACCAAATGGGACAGTGAAACTGGAAGACATTCAAAGAAAAAGAGGAATTCATGTGAACTAAAGCAACCACAGCAGTTTCATTCCCGTCCCCAAGAAAACCTCCATCAGTGGACTGATGACTACAGACCTGTCGCTCTGACATCTGTAGTTATGAAGTGCTTTGAAAGACTGGTGTTTGCACACCTGAAGGACATCGTAGACCCCCTGCAGTTCGCCTACTGGGCAAACAGGTCAGTGGATGATGCAGTGAACATGACACTGCATTACATCCTGCAACACCTCGACTCTCCAGGGACCTATGCATGGGCCCTCTTTGTGGACTTCAGCTCAGCGTTCAACACCATCATCCCAGACATCCTCCACTCCAAACTGACCCAGCTCACTGTGCCTGCCCCCACCTGTCAGTGGATTACTAGTTTTCTGACAGACAGGAAGCAGCAGGTGAGGCTGGGGAAAACCACATCCTGCACCCGGACAATAAGCACAGGCGCCCCCCAGAGATGTGTGCTCTCCCCTCTGCTGTTTTCACTCTACACCAATGACTGCATCTCGAAGGACCCCTCTGCCAAGCTCCTAAAGTTTGCTGATGATACAACAGTTGTTGGTCTCATCCGAGATGGTGACGAGTCAGCCTACAGACAGGAGGTTGAGCAGCTGGTCCTGTGGTGTAGTCGCAACAAACAGTGGAGATGACAGTGGACATCAGGAAGAGCCCCCCCCACGATACTTGGCAGCACTGTATCAGCAGTAAAGTCCTTCAAGTTCCTGGGCTCCACTATCTCCCAGGACCTGAAGTGGGCATCTAACATCAGGACCATCATCAAGAAGGCACAGCAGAGGATGTACTTCCTGCACCAGCTCCGGCAGTTCGACCTGCCCCAGAAGCTGCTGATACAGTTCTACAGAGGAATCATCAAGTCTGTTCTCTGCACCTCCATCACTGTCTGGTTTGGCTCAGCAACCAAACAGGACAAGTACAGACGCCAGTCGACAGTCAGGGCTGCAGAAAAGGTCATTGGTACAAGCCTGCCTTCCATGGAGGACCTGTAAACCTCATGGGTCAAAAGGAGGGCAGAGAGGATCACTGCAGACCCCTCACACCCGGGACAAAATCTGTTTGAACTCCTCCCTTCTGGATGGCGTTACAGGTCACTGTGTACCAAGACAACCAGGCACAGGGACAGTTTCTTCCCCCGGGACATCACTTTGATTAACACTTGACCAATGACAGTATGACTGGACAATAACCCTCAGTGCAACACCTGTAAATATACCTCGTACAGATTATACAGATTTGTACAGGTCTCTAGTTTTAAGTACTCTGTTTTTATTCCTAATTATCTCAGTTCATAATGAGCATTCCTTGTCTGTCTGCATTGTTTACTGCCTGTTTATACTGCTTATTTTGCATTGTTTGCACTGGTTGTTGCTTGATATTAATACTGCTTATTTTGTTATATTACACAGCCTTACACTGGTGTACCATTTATTTGCCCCTTGCACGGGGATATGTACATACACATTGAGAGCCGATGTACCAGAGTCAAATTCCTCATATGTCCGACACACCTGGCCAATAAAGCAGATTCTGATTCTAAATACCAGAACACAGCTTCCTGGGCATTGAAATCATCACATTAGCCGTCTGTAGGTATTAGACCAAACCCACATCCAGCATCCACCAAGAAGAAGCATTATAATGGATGCAACCAGCAGACAGTAGACAGCCTGATAAAGACCAAGGAAGACATTGGCATCTGATACCAGAGGCTGTCTTTGAAGAGAGATTTCTCTTTATACAACAACCTGTTGTCACATGATTGAATGCAGCAACAGTTGGCCCATTGATTTATTGCTTTGGTGCAAAGTTGTTGTTTTAAGAGTATATCCAATTTAGTATAGAGACCTACATGCATGATGTACTTCCACTAAAGACAGCAATTACTCCAAAAATATTGCCAAATAATTTATGTGAAAACACTTTAAACAATAGCATCAAACTCTCCTTGTTAAATCATGCTGTGATTAAAAAGTCAAAGGTGCATATCTATGAATGGGAAAACAAAATAATAAAATAAAAAGTCTACTATATATAATGTACATTGTTGTAAAAATCTGTCATCACTAACAATAATCAGAAGCTATTATGCTTTATAGAAAACTGCAGACTGTATAAATTACTTTTGAAATCAGTATATTTGTGTTCAGCTTTTTGTTTTGCATAGATAATGACATTCCTCTATTAGATTTAACATGACATTCAGC